GCTATTCAGCATGGCCATGTGCTGCGCCTGGACTCCTCTGAGCTGAATTGGACTGGACAGACCCAGGAATAGACAAATCAATCCAGTCTTTGGACAGACCAATTTGTTTGTCGCCACGCACAGTTTGTCCTTAGCTTGGCTCTGGACTTGGGAAGTCCTTCCTATCTTTAACCACTTCCATTCCAGACACTTTTACCCCCTTCCTGTCCAGGCCAATTTTCAGCTTTCAGTACTATCACACTTTGAATGACAATTGCGTGGTCATGCAACACTGTACCCATATGAATTTTTTAGCATTTTTTTTTTAGACAGATTAAGCTTTATTTTGGTGGTATTTATTCACCACTGGGATTTTTTTTTTTTTTTGCTATGTAAATTAAAAAGTCCACAAATTTTGAAAAAAAAAAGTGTGTTTTCTCATAAAATTTTTCAAATAAATAGTATTTCATCATAAATCTTGGCCAAAATTTATTCCATTATATTTTTAGTAAAAAACAAAATAACCCAAATTAATTTTATAACCAAAATTATAATTTTTAAACATTTTTTTTTCTTACATTTTTTTTTTTAATATTTTTTATTAATTTTTTTTTTTTTACATACTGTCACCCTAGCAGTACAGTGTCACCATGGTGACACTGTACTACTACTTGTGGGGGGTGGTGAAGATTTTTTTTTTTTTTTTTACACCGATTGCTTTTACACCCATATAGGATATTAAACCAATCATTTCTCCTCTCTAGCTGCATTCTTGCAGCCATTGAGAACTACTGAGTGAGCTGTGATTGGTCACAGCTTGTCACATGGTACAAGGCTGTCGTGAATAGCCTTGTACCATGTGACCTCTGTGATCATTCACAGATTTCACACGTAGTAAGCAATGATGTCACAAGTGACATCTTGCTTACTACTTTGCATGCATGTGATCACTGATTGGCCAATCAGTGATCACATGATCGGGACCTCGTACAGAGGTCCTATCCGACGATCGGTGTTCCACTGTGTCCGGAGAACACAGCGGGCACCGGATCGCGGTGCTGCACGCTCCCAGGGAGCGCGCACAAGCAGGGTGCGGGGAGGCCGTTTATAAATGGCCACCCGACCCTGCAGTGCCACCATCCGGCCGTTTATATACAACGGCCGAACTGGGGGGTGGTTAAGATAAACCTCACAACGGATGCCAGTCCATCGTTGCCTAGAACTTTGGGCGTCATCCGTCTTGTAAATCCGATCAACATCCTGTAACTTCTAGCCTACATCAATAATTAGGGAGGAACCAGAAGTTTTGCCACAGGAAAAGGTAGAATGGATCCTGTGCGGGACAAAACATCACATCCCAGCCTTGTCAGCTGTGTACATTCCAGGTGGAGATCACTGGCAGACATTGTACCTCAGCCAGCAGCTCCTAGATCCAGGACAGTGGTCTTTAGACCTGAAGGTATTCCAGGATCTGAGTAATAGGTGCAGGACACCATATGTTAACCTCCTGATCTTCAGGTCCAAGAGTAAATTGGGCAGGTTTGTCTCCAGGTACAGGAACCGGAATCTGTTGTGATTTTTTTATTTTTTTTTTATTTCTGTGCTTCAGAAACTGCTGTTTGACCCCTTTAGAGACCTTCACCTCTCCACTCCCAGTTATAGGTTGGTATTTTTCTTGTAGCCATCACCACTGCAATGAGAGAGTTTGAACTGGCAGCCTTATCCTGCAATAACCTTTTGCATAGGTACAAGATGGTGTTGCAGCTCAGGATGTCTCTTGCCTATAGTAGTTTCTGCCTTTTTACCTCAACCAAGAAATTGTTGTTCCCTCCCTCTGTCTGCCTCCATTTCCGTGTCTGGATGTGGTTCAGGCTGTGCAAGTCTATGTCGCTTAGCCTCTTTCAGAAAGGCTGATTCCCTTTTTGTCTTTCGATTGCATTACCTTTTTGTTCCACCATCTCTAGGTGGCTCAGACAGACCATCATCCAAGCTTATGGTCTTAAAAGGGAAGTATATAAAAAAAAGAAAAATCTCCTTGTACTGACCTAGATGGACGCAGCAATGATCCGATGCTGCATCTTTCCCCTGTTGGTCCTGCATTGAGAACTGAACAAACAAACACAGCTGAATTTTGTAAATAATCATAAAATCCTTTACTTCAAGTCCATTGACACTCCCACCCACAAACACAAACTCACACACACACTCACACCACACACACAAACACACCACACACACACACCCACACAACACACTCACATACACATATAAAAACACACACACACACCCCACACACAACATACACCACAAACACCACACCCCCACAACACACCCCCCCACCCACAACATTACACAAAAACCACCCAACCCACAAAACACACACACACCACAAAACCACACATAAACACACACACCCCCACAACCCCCACAACCCACACACCCCACAAAAACACACTAACCCCCCCAAACACACACACACCACAAACACACAAACAACCCACACAAAAAACACACACAATAC